GTATCCTACAACCTTCCTGGCATGTCAAAACCCAAGCAGTGTTGTCGGCGCCGACATTTGCCCTATAGTATTATGGGCGCCATCAACTCCCATACCAGACAAACGCAGTAAGGCTCCCCCACGTGCCTCTGGGCATCAACAGTATGGCAGGCATCGACATCTGCAATACCGGAAGAAGACGACGCAACCTCTCACATGCATCTGACAACAACAGTGTTATGGCTGCCTACCATCATCTTGTACCCGACGGCGTGGGCAACAAGACTTAGTAGCATACGTACTCTTTCTCTCTCACTTGTAAGGCCGTCTCCTTCATCTATAAAAGGGGATGCGCTCTCTCCCAACAAGGGGGTGATCGATCAGTTCACTCACACACCACAATAGAACCACTAGGTTCAAACCTCAAGCACACACTCGAACACTTAGCACATAGCGGAGCTCCTGTCACTCTCGGCCCTTCAGACCAGAGTTCGACCGGACCTCTTGTACCCCCCATCTTTCTCCCTTCCGTTTGTAACCCCACAACAAACTTCGAGCACCTGGGCTCAGGAATAAAGTCACCGACCAACTCAAACTGGACGTAGGGCACATTGACTGAACCAGTATAAATCCTGTGTCATTGAGTGCTAGGCCACCTCCGATCACAACGTATAGCAAAACTACAAATATTTACGTGTTGGTCACTTTCTGCACCGACAAATAGTTTCTCAACTCAGGATCTGGAAAATTTCTGTGCTGGGGCTGATTTTGTATGACATTGGCAGTGCCCTTGAGGCATGTCCAGAGGGATGCTAATGGGTATAAATCAAGAGTACTTTGAATTAGAAAAATATTATCGATGGAGAGTACTATATTAAATTTGTTTTAAGAAATAAGATAGATGGTTTTCGATGGGCTCTTTTGTCTGTATACGGTGCAGCACTGGAAGAGCACAAATAGATTTTTTTTGTCAGAGTTAGTACGAGCATGTACTAGCAGCGGGAATCTACCTTTCATAGTAGGAGGGGATTTTAATATAATTAGGAACCCATCGTTAAAAAATAATTCAAGATACAACAATAAATGGCCGCTCATCTTCAACGCCATTATTGAAACTTTGAATCTAAGGGAATTAGAGATGGCAGGTAGAAAATTTACTTGGTCTAATTATGCTGAAGTGCCCACTTATGAAAAGTTAGACCATATTTTGGTGACAACTGAGTGGGAACAAAATTTTCCTTTAGCTACTGTCCAGGCGCTCACCAGAGAAATCTTCGATCACACACCACTTTTACTAGATGGAGGAGAACCATCTCACAGAGGGAACGTTAGGAATTTTAAATTTGAGTTAGGGTGGTTGACAAGGGATGGTTTTTTTATCTGGTAAAAGAGATTTGGGAGTCGGAGAATAGGAGTACATCACCTATGGACCAGTGGCAAAATAAGATTAGAAGGTTGCGACGATTCCTTAGATGTTAGACTAGAAATTTAGTTTCCCAAAACAAGAAACATAAATTAGATTTGTTGGCTAAGATAGATAATTTTGATAGAAAGACGAAAACAAGTTTGCTGTCACCACAGGAGGTGGAACTTAGACATCATCATAAAGGGCAATTAACTAAGTTGCTAAGAAAGGAACAGATCTATTGGCTTCAACGATCAAAAGCAACAAAGTTATTGCAAGGGGATGATAATACTAAGTATTTTCACTTGGTGGCAAATGGAAGACATAGAAAAACAAAAATCATACAACTAGAACAAGAAGAAGGAATTATTGTTGGAGATGCGAACTTGAAAGATTATATAACTGATTATTATAAACGACTGTTTGGATCTCATATACAAAATTCTTTCTCAATGGACGAGACTTTGAGGCATGACATACCTCAAGTGTCGGAGGAGGAGATTGAAATATTGGTGGCTCCATTCAGTGAGGAGGAGATTAGATCGACAGTCTTTGATATGGAACATAATAAGGCACCTGGCCCGGACGGCTTTCCTGTAGAATTTTACCAATTCTTTTGGGATGTTGTCAAGCAGAATTTGATTAGCCTTTTTAATGAATTCCATGTAGGGAGACTGCATATTCATAGTTTAAACTTTGGGGTAATTACACTGTTACCCAAAGTTTCTGATGCGATCCGAATACAACAATATAGGCCAATTTGTCTTTTAAATGTGTCCTTTAAGATTTTTACAAAGGTGTTAAATAATAGAATTCTGAAAGGGGCAGATAAAGTGATAGGTCCGACTCAAACGACCTTCATTCCGGGCCGATATATAATGGAAGGAGTTGTAATATTACATGAAACAATTCATGAGTTGCATAGGAAAAAATAAGATGGAGTGATCCTAAAACTAGATTTTGAAAAAACGTATGATAAACTAAAGTGGCCTTTTATACAACAAGTCCTCAGGATGAAAGGATTCTCACCAGTTTGGTGTGAATGGACTTCAAGAATTATGACTAGAGGGAGTGTTGCAGTAAAGGTAAATGATAATTTAGGCCATTATTTCCAAACAAGAAAAGGAGTGCGGCAGGGGATCCGTTATCTTCAATTTTGTTTAATATAGTGGTTAATATGCTGGCAATTCTTATTTCACGAGCAAAAGAGGCCGAACAAATTCAGGGAGTGGTTCCGCACTTGGTAGATGAAGGACTCTCAGTCCTTTAGTATGCGGATGACACTATCATCTTAATGGACAATGATCTAGAGATGGCCAAAAACATGAAGCTCTTGCTTTGTGCTTTTGAACAATTATCAGGACTCACGATCAATTTCCATAAGAGTGAGTTATTTTGTTACGGAGCAGCCAAAGATAATCAAAATGAATACACACAAATTTTTGGGTGTGATGTGGGATTGTTCCCGTTTAGATACCTAGGAATTCCTATGCACCATAGAAAACTCATGAATAAGGACTGAAAACATGTGGAAGAAAGATTTCATAAGAGATTGAGTGGTGGGAGGAGTAAAATGTTGTCAGTAGGAGGAATGCTTGTACTAATCAACTCGGTTTTAAGTAGTCTTCCCATGTTCATGATGTTATTTTTTAAAATACCTAGAGGGGTTTTGAAGAAATTGGATTATTTTAGATCTCGGTTTTTTTGGCAGAGCGATGAACACAAGAAAAATTATAGATTGACAAAGTGGGAGGTAGTGTGTACACCAAAAGAACAAGGAGGCTTGGGAGTCCTAAATTTAGATGTTCATAATAAGTGCCTCCTAAGCAAGTGGCTATTTAAATTGCTAAACGGAGATGGTGTTTGGCAACAGTTACTTAAAAGTAAATATTTAAGGGATAAAAGTTTAACACAGGTTCAATACATGCCCGGGGAGTCTCAGTTTTGGGCTGGCCTCATAAAAGTCAAAGATGAGTATCTTTCGATGAGCAGGTTTGATCTAGGTGACGGGACCTAGGTACGTTTTTGGGAGGATTCGTGGATTACGCCACGCCCTTTAAAAACGATATTCCCGGCATTATACAACACAAACTGTACTGTCTGTGACACCGTTAAATATAGCTTTCAGGAGATCTCTGATGGGGCCTAATCTGCAAGCATGGTACAATGTGGTGCTCATGGTTGCAAATGTTCATCTAACAAGCCAGAGAGATCGTTTTGTGTGGAGGTTGCATCAGAATGGGTTGTTCTCAGTAAATTCTATGTACAGAGCATTTCTAGGCGTTCAGGCTTTACCATATAACAATTTAATTTAGAAACTAAAACTACCTCTCAAAATTAAAGTCTTTATGTGGTATTTGTACAAGGGTGTAATCTTAACAAAAGATAATTTAGCTAGGCGACAGTGGCAAGGAGATACGAAGTGTTGTTTCTGTTCTTCCGAAGAGTCTATACAACATTTACTCTTTGACTATCATTATGCTAAATTTATGTGGAGAATTATTCAAGTTTCGTTTAACCTAAATCCTCCAAATAGTGTACACAATTTGTTTACAAGTTGGTTGGAAGAGTTAAACAGAAAAATGAAATCTAAAATTCTTGTAGGGGCAAGTGCTATTTGCTGGGATGCTTTGGCTAACCCGTAATGATATCGTGTTTGACAAGGCCATAGCACCATCTTATTTGCAGGTTATCTTCAAAGCGATATATTGGACCAGGTTTTGGTCACTTCTTCAGAAAGAGGAAGATCGCCATTCAGTGAAGATGGGTCATAGGACCATTCAGACAGCCGCGATGACGGTGTTTGCAAGACACGGCTGGAGACTTAGCAATAGAAGAATTGCTATCTAGTTTTTTCCTTCTCAAAATTTTGTTGGCTTTATGGCTCAAAACTTTGTTTTTGAGATTCCTCGGACCTTTTTACGTGTGTTTGTAATAACGAACAGCCATATGCATTAATCGATACAGAAGTTAGGATATTAATATATTCCCTTTTCTAAAAGAAGAAAACTTTGTAGCATGGACTTTTTTGGAGAAATGGAAAATAAGCTCCGTTCGCTTGTCTTAAATTTGGCTTATTCGGCTTGTTTTTTCAGCCGGAACAGTGTTTTTCTCTCACAACAATTCAGTCGAAATAGTATTTTTCAGCCAGTTTCAGTCAAAGTTCAGACCAGCAAACGGAGTCATATTTGGGGTGGGGGAGCACATGCCTCTAAGGGAAAAAAAACGAATTCTTTCTGCTACCAGTTCTCTGAGTAGGACGGACTTGCGAAATTTTCTCGCTTTCCCACCAGAATAATATGGCCATGGTGTCTCTATGAAACTAGCCAAAAGAAAAAAAAAAAGCTCTGAGCCTTAGATCCTCTGCTCTGAGTTTTCCTTTTCCAGGTTTGCGGTTCTGAAACAACTACCGGTATCCTGAAAGCAAAGGCAACTTAACTACGTACATACTGTGCTCTCCCTCGTGAATTCTAATTCATATATTGTTCCGAAATCACTGCTCTAATTTCATTGCAATAATAGCTGTACATAAAACAAGAATATCGATGTTGTTGTATGTATCTGCTACCGTGAAACAAGAATGTCGACCACACTCTTTAACATCAAGAACGATGATTTAAATCTCGGGTACAGCAAAGTCGCAATCAACCTCCACGGGCAGCAGCTCTGACTGTGAACAAGCCGGCGAAGGTATGTGAAGCAGATCATGGGCTTGCTCTTGCTCCAACGACGGCGTGCAGTCCGTGACATCCGGGACTGGGTCATAGCTTGCACTAGGCAGAGCGCCTGGAACGGCAGCAACCGGCAGAAGACGACCGGTGGTCGTCAGGACGTTGGACGAGCCGATCGTTGTCGCGTATGGCACTTGGTGCAACGGCGACGACGGTCGGCCGCCGTAGCAGTGAGCTGATGGCAATGGAACGGCCGTGGCTGGTACGAGCAGAGCGTCCGAGCCGGTCGTCGGATCTGGAACAGAATGGGACGACGACGGTGGTCGATCATCGCACGTGTGTGCCTCAAAGTAGGTGATCTCCAGCTTGGACGGGTCGGCGTCGCATTGCTGCACGTGCTTCTTCGCAGGGCAGCCGGGCCTGCGGCCACATTTATAATAACTCCTGCAGCAACCATCATATGAATTTTAATACAAAACTAGTTTCTGTCCCTGGAATCTCTTATATTTGACAATTTTTGATTGCTTGTACTACGGAGTATGTGCTAATTGCAGAACATAGGGCATAATTGTACAGTAAGTACTCTTACCTAATATTAAGCATATTTATTGGCTTTGGCATGCTAGAGATTTTTGTTGATTTAAATGTAAACTTAGTGCTTATTTTAGTAAGCCTGTTCGCTTGAACTTATTAGCACTAGTTTTCAGTCATATAACAGTGTTTTCCTCTCACAACAATCAACATCAGCAACAGCCTTTTTTTCAGCCAGACGAACAGAGTTTCATATGTGGATAGTTTAGATAGAAATTTTGGTGACTAATGAGATCTTATTTTTCCAATAATGACACAGCTCGGTCATTAGAAGTAACCAGCTAAATCTATTTACTACTAATATTAATGATTAGAGTGTACAGAATTCATTAATGACGGGATACTCCATTGAATGGCTAAATACCCTGTTTTAATTTCCATGAGAAATTCTAGAAGTTATATCTTTTCTTAATTATCTCGGCGACTGATGAGATTAACATAAAACTAAAAAAAAGAGTCAGTAGTTTAGTAATAGTAAGATGCCCGTGACAAGAATCCGAGATATACCTTGGAAATCTGGCGCCCAGAATTTCCTTCTGCCCGTACTTCCTCCATGTGTACGAATCATGAACTCCATTCTGTAGCACTATCATTCGGGACGCAGCATCCATCCTGGATCATGAAGAGGTCAAGACTCAAGAATACCAGAGAGGTGACTGACGATGAATTCACAAACTATAGTTCTGGAACTACATGGAACCAACGAAATAGAATGTTCTCTTCTACTAGCTTGGTGTAACACCACAGTCAATTAGCACAAAAACTGATGATAGGCGATGGACAGGCACCTGGCCCGTTGAGAAGTTCTCCTTGTCGCTGCTGATCTCCTGCCGCCGGCACCGGCTGGGCTCCTCCCGGCGGCGGTGCTGGCAGCCGCTGGCTGCCCAACTGTGGGGATCCGCAGAGACGTAATCGCTTGAGACAGTGAATCGGTGATGTCCGACAGGAGGGCGTCCACGTCGCCGCCAGAGCACTTTGCCCCGGCGCCATAGCCTCCTCCCGCCGCCACGGGCAGCAGCTTGGCTAGCAGTGCCTTGAGATGGTTGGTTGACTTCTGAGCTCTGAAGATGAGCTGCTCGGTCGTCGCGCCACCTGAGCCACCTGCCATCTCAATTCTCAATGGAGTGAGTGTTGTGCATGTGCAAGTGGGGAGATATTTGCAAGTGACAAGTAGTATAATGGAAAGTATTATTTTCTCCATGACTCCTTCGTGCTGGTCGGGCCTATTCGCTTAAACTTATCAGTCAGCTTATTAGCTAGAATCTATAGTATTTTCTCTCGTAACAAAACAGTTTCAGCTAACTTATTAGTCGGCTTTAAATGCAATTTGTTATAAGTGACATGTATATGCAAGAATTGTACTTTATTTAGCATAGGTCAGTCAAGACAGGGACCAGTCACCTACTCACTGCACGCTTTATCTTATCCTTAATAAGCACCTGGTTCATTCTCACAGAAACATATGAAAACATTTTTTTTTGCTAAAACGATACAATTCTTTTAAAAAAATACTTGCAAATGTCAGGGCACAGTAGCAGCTTCTACGTATTTGTTACATACAGACGCACGGTCATCTACACTCGCAGAGGATGGAATAAATTTACGGTAAGGCGGAGTTTAACTAGATGTTGGAGGCTCCTCGATCACCACTTTTACCACCTTGTGAACGACCTGGTGAACGTGCTCGTGTTTACATCAAAATTTGGAAAGAAGAACGTGAAAACTCGAAGCTTCCAGAATTGTGCCGATCAAGGAATTGATTGGACAAAGATCGATATCAGCTGATTCAGATGCAACACTGGAATCGGCTCTCTTTGATTGCACAAAGATCGATATCAGCTGATTTAGATGCAACACTGGAATCGGCTCTCTTTAAATAACGTCAGCAGATAACGATAATGAGCTACGGTTGGCGTCGGGAAATACATATTGGACTCTACAAAAAGGGAAAGATTATGGTCCAAGTTATCTTAAGATAGGAATGTTTTCTTTTATACCAAAGATTGTAATGAGTCGTACTCGAGTAGAATTCATATTTAGGCTCCGGGTATAAATATTGGACCTCGGCTATTGTAAAAGGAGATCAAATCAATCAAATACAATTTATCTTTTTTCGGCTTCGGCCAACCCTTAGGAGTAGGAGTAGAGTAGATCTCGATGAGTTCTTTAGCGAACAGGGCTGCATCGTGCTGGCCGACCTCCGGCTTGTCTGTAAGTACCGTCATGGTTTATATTTTGATTTGTACGGCTGCATCGATCCGGTCGACCTCCACTGCGAACTTTAGTATAAGGTAGTTATCGACTATTGTCTAGTTCAAGTACGGCTGCATCGATTTGGTCAACCTCCACTGCTCGAACTAGATTAAGGTCAAGTTATCGGCTCTATCTAAGGGTGGTGTCATTCGGGTAGATTTATTAAGTTACCGATCTTGCTGATGTTTACATTATTATTAGTTTGCAGCAACATCAATCCGCCCGGTCAAGATCGATTAAGATCGGCCCTATATCCATTCAGTCTGTCGTTCGCTTTATTACAACACGATGTTTCTTACTCTGAGTGACGGGTTACGATTCATCGGCTATTCTACTTCGATCTTGATCGTGCATAGTATGCGGTTAAGGCGTGTATGATCTTGAATTGGTTTGCTGGTTAGTTAAACCTGATCTATAGTTTGCTATTATGGCTGTAGCGATCCGGTCGATCCCCACTGATGGCACTGTAGATTTAGAGGACGCTAGTTAGTAGATTTATTCTCGATTAGGCATGACCTTAACTGTTTGCTATGCCTACATCGACTAAATAGCCGATCACCTATGCTTTAACGCCTACAGTGTGTGTCCATGATTCTGTTAAGCGTGAATAGGTCTATGTACTTTAAGGGTTTGAGCTGTTGTCTTTATCACGGCTGCATCGATCTGGTTGAATCCCACTATTAGAGATAGTAGGTTAAGTCTGATGAGTCCATAGTTTTGTCCATGTGAAATAGTCGATTGTTCACACGCTGTAGTCCCTTTTCACCTGAATTGGTTATTTCAGCCGATTCATCTGAGCCTTCACGTATAGCATGTCTTTTGGAAAAGCCTGTCGAAGTATAGATGGTTTTATGAATTCTTCAGTTTTAGTTTGTTATTATCATCATAGCTACCATCGATCCGGTCGAACCTCACTGTTGATGATAACAGATTAGATTCAGAGTGTTTGTCGACCCATTGGTATTAGACAGTCGATTTATTTGCATGCTATATCTTTTTCTTGATTTAGATTCATCGGCTCAATGATTCATACTGGTAATATCCACCTAGCTGATGATCTCATTTATGTCTATGGGCATTGTACTTATCAACATAAAACTAATCATGATCCATAAGCTTTGCTGTCCGTAACAATCGATTTCTGTGCGTATCGGCTATTTAGTCGATTTTCCCGTCTGGCTACTCTTGAAGCGGCACACTTGGAACTGTCTAGGCAAAGACCGGCATGTTCCACCTTAAATTACTGATAAACTTTCTCTTCTTGTCAATTGCAGGGTCAAATTGACTGGCACGTGTCGGGAGGAATTCATAGGATTGGTTACCCTTGCGTTGAAGCCAAGCGGATCTCCAGCTTCATCAAGCAGATCCTTTCGGCTTGCCATGTGTCGATGCATTTTCGTGCCGATAGCTCGTTAGGTGGATTCAGCGGCGATCATGGTGATCTCCACCCGCCCCCTTGGCGCCCACCATGGATGAGCATCTCCTTCCATGGCGCTTCCTGGCTTGAACTTCAGGCCAGGGAAAGTGGTGGAAGCTAAAGTCCAGCGCAAGTTTGGCGTCCTGGTTTGTCATGATCCCTCCCTATCTTCCCCAGAGTTTTTCCTTGTTCTCTCCTTTGGCCGTTGCCGGTTTTGTCTCACGGAGGTCTCTACTTCGCTTATTTTACAATCGGTCATTGGTGGGGATGAGGCTAGCTTTCACCTGCTCACTTTAGGTGATCGTGTCTTTTGGTTCTCGGTCTCGTCGCCGGCAGTGGGTTTTCATATTTACAAGCTTCGCTCGTTGGAGTGTGCTCAATTTAAAGTTTTCTTCAACCTTTGGCACAACGGTGGCCCAAATCATCTCTTTGAGATCCGTCGTTGGGAGGAAGAAGATAGGGCCAGATGGACTACGGTCTCAAGGCGAACCCCCCACCCCAACCCCACGCTGGCTAGATCTCCACCCGCTCACCGGAGCTAACAAGATTCTAGTCATGCCTGTTTCAAACTAGAGAAACGGTAGGAGCCATCAATTTGGTAGGTAATTAGTTTTCAATCGCCTTAATTTTGGAGCAAAATTGCTGGCCCATCATTTGAAATTAGTCAATAGCGTTAAGCCTGCTATTCTAGGAAGGTATTCTAGGTCTCCCCCGCCGTCACCTATGTGCCCTCGTTGCCTAGCCCAAGATCATGTAAAGGCCCATTGTCGTAATCATTTCCGTTGCTGAGCCAGTTTAGGCCTTGGACACAATTCTAGCAACTGCCCTTTCGTGCCTCGATTGACGCGCCCTTCCATACTTCACTCGGGCACTGAATCTTCACTTTCTATGACTGGCGGGTCCCCATCCCAAGCCCGATGCTTCGCTTCCTTTGGTGCCTTCCTTAATCACTACACGGGCATTACTCCGCCTACTCCCATTACGGTGCCATGGAGCCGCTCTTGGAGCATATCAGCGCCGAAATTCATTGATGACATCGACGATGAGGTGGTGCTCACTGCCTCCCCGCTGTCTGCTATTCATCACTCGGGCGCTCCGCCACATGTTTTCTCTAGTTTCAGTGAGTTTGCCTCCACCGTTCTTGGTCTTTCCCGTCCATCATCTACTATTCATGTCTTTTGGGAGGAGAAAACCCCAGTTGCTATAGTACCGCAAATTCCTTTGCAGCAACCAATGGCGTTCCGCTTGGTGGATCCTGAGCCTTTCATACCTCTAGGTGCACAACGTCAGGTGGTGAATGGCTGTCTGGTCATGCGCCGTGTTGTCATTGGACATGTCCCTTAGCACAACAATGACCTGGCCATCTCCACACTCCAGCTCATGCCTCAGAGCCTATCAACTTCATAGCAATCCACAACATTATTGAAGATTTCTTGTAGCAGCGTGGCATTGGATTTTGCTCTATGCAACCATGCCCTTATGGTTAGGCCTATGTTGGCATTTCTTAGCGCAATCACCAAGTGTGGAGGTTTAAGTCTATCCTCGGCAACGGCGCTAGAAATGCCAATTGATATTTCTTAACACCATCACTAAGATTGAGTTAACCTTAGCGACGCTACCAAGAAACACCAACTACGATAGTTCTTAACGATTACAGAAAATATCCGCAAGCGCACGGATCTATTGTTGTAGCATTTCACCTGAAAGTATTCAGGGTATCCTTATTTATATTTTCCCAAAGGAGGGCAAGGTGTAAAGAGTCTAGCATGGATATGAACTAGATTACATACTTGCATAGTAAACCAATAGTTCATGATAGGGGTAAAAATGGTATTTCAAGGATAGTTGACACACATTTGAGCCAACCTCAAGGATAAAAGGAAAACAAAGAATAAAATAATGTTCCTACGTGGAGCTGGCATGGTCAAATATAGCTGTGCAAAGAATAGTTAATGATCATACAAGTTATATGATTAGAGTTAGAACTAAGTATAAGATGGACGGGGAGATCTCCGAGCACTGGTCTGCCAGCAAGCGAGAGAGACTTTAAAGCTCCTACATAGTACCCGAACGTGGGGGATTACAAGGGACAGCCATGGCTATCACCACCTGTCGCCTACCCCTCAACCAGGGCACCATCATATCCGAAGGTCCCCATGCACCCGAGCACCTCGCCTGTGTACAAAGAAACTACCCATATCCCCCCGGGACTCCGACCCTATGGATCTATGAGCATAGGACATGGGCAAACCCGAAGGAATGATGAACCGCCACCTCAACCTAGCTCTACTTCTACTCATACAAGTCATATGAATGGTTAAGTATAAAGTTGAACATGTTAGGATCATAACACACAGACTATATGCTAATTCATATATCATGATTATAACAAGACAACTATACTCTAGTTCATATGCACTACTATATTGAAGATATAA